CCTAAGCGTCTCCGCCTCTCACTGCGCGGGAGTCTCCTGCACAGGGTGAGCGTGGGCAGCGGGGTGCTTGGGCTCTCCTCACTAACTTTCAACGAAGAGTCCTGGAGCCCCTGCCCCTCCCTGTCCCGTTGCTCTCCTGGATCCCTGGTGTTACACTCATTCTCTTCCCCTCTTTCCCAGCTGAGTCCCCCCCTAGCGCTGGGACCTTCTCCTGCAGAATCAGAGACCTTCTCCTTCTCCAGTGCCTCTGATGTCAGTTCCCTGACATCCACCTCCCTCCCAGGGCCCCCTTCACTCCCCCTCCTACCTGTGGGCTCTATTGTAGCCTCTGCTCTGGTCGGTGAGCCAAGAAAACCCCGGAATGAGCTGTCCTCCTCATCTGTGGGTGCGAAAACCTCTTCCCACCTGCTAAGGTTCCCACCCAAGGAATGACCCTCCCAATCCGATTCTTCTTCGGATTCTGAAAACCCTTCGAAACTCTCTTCCTCCTCTGTGGTACCGAATCATTCCTCCCAGAATCGCTCTAAGGGCTGGGGCTTATCTGGGAACCGTCTGTGGAACACTTCCACCATATGCTCGTCGCCAACTGCCTCTGCGGGCACCCACGTGTTTTCCGACCAGGGCTCTCCTTCCCTCGCCACCAAGTACTCCACTTGCCGACCTCGCCACCTTGAATCAACTATCTCTGCGGCCGAACTTTGGTGTTCCCTTACTTCTACCTGTGGTGGTGGCGTGACTTCTACCTCCCGCCCCTCGAATTCCCGCCCCTCTCTGTGTGGTGAGAGTAAGGACCTGTGGAACACGGGATGTATTTTCATGTTGTCGGGCAACCTGAGCTTGAACGCCACGGGGTTTATCTGTTGTATGACTTCAAATGGCCCCAGTCGTCTGGGCTGCCACTTCTTGCACCCTCCCTTAAAGGGTAACCCTTGAGTGGACAGCCACATGCGATCCCCCACCCTTATGGTTTCCCCTTCCCTTCGGTGTTTATCTGCTTGCTTCTTGTAATTGGCTTTGGCCCTTTCTAGGTTCATCTTGAGCTGTTGATGTAACGCTTCCATTTCTTCCACAAACTGCTCAGCTGCGGGCACACTCCAGCTCTGTTCCTCATTACCCGGGAATGCCCTGGGATGACACCCATAATTGGCCAAAAATGGACTCATTCCTGTGGATACATGTTCAGCGTTATTGTACGCAAATTCTGCTAACGCTAGTTTCTCTACCCAATCATTCTGCCTCTCGCTCACGTATCAGCGTAAGTATTGCTGGAGTACGCTGTTTGCCCTTTCCGCTTGCCCATTGGTTTCTGGGTGTCTCGCGGTCGAGAAGCTGACCTCGACTTGCAGTAGGCTCATGAGCTTCCTCCAGAACCTGGAAGTAAATTGTTTTCCGCGGTCTGAGAGAACCCTCAAGGGGGCGCCATGCAGCCTGAAAATGTGTTCTACAAACAACCGTGCCGTTTCTTCCACCGTCACCGCATGTGAGCAGGCAATGAAATGGCACATTTTGGTTAGCAAGTCGACTACTACCATCACTGCTGTTTTCCCCCTTGATTTGGGCAAATCCGTCATGAAATCAATTGACACCACCTCCCAGGGTTTGTTGGGTGTGGGTAAGGGTTCCAGCAAACCCACTGGTACAGTGCGTTCCCCTTTGGCCCTCTGGCAGCGGTCACACCCTCTTACATATTCGCGTACATCTTCCCTCACCCGTGGCCACCAAAATTGTCGAGTCACCAGCATCATGGTTTTGTGTTGCCCAAAGTGCCCCGCTGTGGGGGTGTCATGTAGTTGCTTGAGTACCCTTCTTCTTAGAGCCTCCCCCGGTACGTACATCGCCCCCCTGTAGTACAACACCCCTTCCTTCTCTTCGAACCCCTCTGGTGCTCCCCTCCCCTCTTGGAGTTCCCTGATTTTTGTTCGTGCGAATTCATCGTCCCTAGTGAGTCCTGCCAGTTCTCTCGTGCCCACTAGAGTACCCCCACACACCCATCGGTCCTCAGGTATGACGTGTCGGGTCCAGAGGCCCCTCTCCTTCGAAGTACTCTGGTTTCCGCGAGAGAGCGTCTGCTCTCACGTTTTGCTCGCCTGGCACATACTGGATTTCGAAGGAAAACTTGGAAAACTCCTGCGCCCAGCGAATCTGTCTCTGGTTGAGCACCCGTGCTGTCCGCCAATATTCCAAGTTCTTGTGATCCGTGCAGACCTGGATCTTGTGCTGCGCCCCTATCAGCAAATGGCGCCACCGACGAAAGGCGGCGTAAATTGCTAGCAGTTCCCGGTCGTACACGGTGTAGTTTTGTTCCGACTTGCTCAGCTTCCTCGAGAAAAAGGCGCACGATTTCCATTCTTGCTTGTTCAGTCCTGGCTGCAACAGAACCGCCCCGATGGCTCTGTCTGACGCGTCCGTCTCCAACCTCAGTGGTTTCTCCAAATCCACATGTAGTAATTGTTCTTCCGACGTGAACGCCTTCTTCAATCTTTCAAAGGATTGCTGGGCTTCCTCCGTCCACACAAACTTTCTTTTACTACTGAGACAGTCCGTGATTGGCGCCGTCAAGTGTGCAAAGTTCTTGATGAACTTCCTGTAGAAATTGCCAAAACCTAGGAACCTCTGCACATCCTTTCGTGTCTTTGGGGTTTTCCACTCCAATACTGCTTGCACCTTGCTTGGGTCCATCGCTAAGCCTTTGTCAGATAACTTGTACCCCAGGAACTCCACCTCTCGGGCATGAAACTGACATTTCTCTAGCTTGACCCACAACTGGTGTTTCTGCAAGCGTTGTAGCACTTCCCTGACATCTCTCACATGTTGCTCCTCATTTTCTGAATATATCAAGACGTCGTCCAGGAATGCTACACAGTTCTTGTAAAGCAGAGACCCCAACACGTGGTGCATGAACGCTTGAAAACAGGCGGAGCCTGACTGTAATCCGAAAGGCATAACGAGATATTCAAAGGCCCCCAGGGGTGTGAACATGGTGGTCTTCCACTCATCTCCCTCTCTCATTCGGATTAAGTTGTAAGCCCCCCTAAGGTCTAGCTTGGTGAAAAGCTTTCCCTTCCTCACTCTCGTCAGAATGTCGTCAATTCTGGGCATAGGGAAAGTCACAGGTTCTGACACCAAATTTACCCCCCTGAAGTCCACGGCCAGCCTCGGTTTATCAGTGTCCTTTTTGTCCACAAAAAATACTGGACTGCCCCCCACTGCCTTTGACTCTCTTATAAACCCTCTCTTTAGGTTCTTGTCGATAAAGTCCCGTAACTCCTTCATCTCCCTGTCTGACATGGCATACAGCTTACCCACCGGCAGCTGCGCCCCAGGGAGCAAATTGATCTGGCAATCGAACGGCCTGTGGGGTGGCAGTCTATCTGCCTCCTTTTCACTAAAAACCTCCTTCAGATCAGCATATTGTGGTGGCACCCTCCCTTTACCCTCCACTGCAGTGCTTGCCACTCTGGCAATGCTCATCCTTGGCGTTTCCCCGCCTAGGCAGTGCTGCAGGCAGTAGTCAGACCCAAAGCTGACGGTCCTCTGATGCCACGCCACCACCGGATCATGTTGCGCTAGCCAGCTCATCCCTAATATTATTGGGGGACCCGCTAATGAGGCAACATGGAAGGCGATTGTCTCTGAGTGCCTAGACACTCTCATTCTCATCGGTGGGGTCTGGTGGGTAACTCCCCCCCCAATCAGTTCCCTCCCATCAATGGTGGTGACTTGCAGAGGTGCATCCAAAGGTAGCAGGTGAAGCTGATGCTCTAAGGCAAAGTCCCTGCTAAAAAAGTTGCATGAGCTTCCTGAGTCCAGCATACCCTGAACCTTCACTGGGTGCCCATTTGGGAGTTCAAGCACCACCTCAATGGCAATTGCTGCTCTTGGAGAATCTGGTTTGGGCACATTCATTGGTTGTTGGCTAAGCTGCTGTGCCCGCTAATTGGCAGCCAAGCGTTTCCGTTTCCCTGCTCCGGAGTCTGGGGTTCCTCCTCCTCGCCCCCCACGGCCCCCTCCATTCCTTGCCAGGCCTTTCTTTGTGGGCAGACTCTGGCAAAATGTCCTGGCCGTTGGCAAAGGAAACATTTCTTGGTCGTTTTTACATCCTTTCCCTCCTTTTTGTGACTCTCGCTGGGGTTTGAAACTTCCTGGGCACGCGCACCGCCTATTTCCATTGGCTCCGCCGGCGGGGAAGGCTGCCTAGGTATTCTAGGAATGCGGTAGTCATGACAACGCTGTTCTCTCCCTTCCCGCCTCTCTTGAGCCCGCGCTTCCTGTCTTACGCCAATCGCAAGGGCTGCCTTGGTCAGCTGATCCATAGACTGTGGGCGGGGTGCGCGCGAAAGCTCATCTTTGACCGTTGGTGACAGCCCCTCCTCAAATAGCATTTGTATGGGTTCCGAGTCCAGCTGCCACCCCAGGCGATGAACGATCATGGCAAAACGTGACCAATAGTCTCTAACTGACCCTTCTCCCTGCTTACAGCTCAGCAGTTCCCGTTTGGTCACACTCTGTTGCACATCGCTACTGAACATAGCGTCCATCGCCTGAAAGAATTTCGATAGATCCTCCATGGCGTCATTATGCGTCGCCATAAGCTGTCGAATCCACTCTCTCGCCCCGTCCTGCAAGTGCCCCACAATATAAGCAACTTTGGCTGCGTCATTTTCAAAATCGTTTTGCTGCAGCTTCAAGGCATATTCTATTTCTGTTCTAAATGCCCCATACTCTTGAGGCTTTCCCCCAAACTTGTGCACCAGTCCCGGTACCTTCCTCACTATGGGGGTGGGTTTCCCCTGAGCATCCAGTGACCGTCGTTCGTCCAGCCTCACCGTCAGGATGGCTATGTGCTCTTCCAAGTCGCGGTTTCTCTCCTCCAGCGATTGGCCTCCAGCCGCCCCTCCCGTGGCTCCGACTTCTCCAGTCTTACTCATGAAGCCCCCTTCTGCTTGTTGCGCACGAGCAACTTTCAGAGACAGACAGATTGCTGTAGTGGTTGGGAGTTACTCGTGCATAATCCTGCCCCGTTTGAGCATCGGATTGCCTGGTTAAACCCTCCGGACTGCACAGCCCATCTCAGCATGGCTGCCCTTAGTCACTCGTAGAATCTGTCTGTGGGCGTTTCTTAAAGCGCTGCCAACATAAGAGTTGTTTGACGCCTAAGGGTCTCCGCCTCTCAGTGCGCGGGAGTCTCCTGCGCAGGGTGGGCGTGGGCAGTGGGGTGCTTGGGCTCTCCTCACTAACTTCCAACGAAGAGTCCTGGAGCCCCTGCCCCTCCCTGTCCCGTTGCTCTCCTGGATCCCTGGTGTTACACTCATTCTCTTCCCCTCTTTCCCAGCTGAGTCTCCCCCTAGCGCTGGGACCTTCTCCTGCAGAATCAGAAACCCTCTCCTTCTCCCGTGCCTCTGATGTCAGTTCCCTGACACTGCCACTTGACCAAATTCTTGAATTAGTTCTAAAACTCTTTTAGTACTAGATTCTGCCTCCTGTAACATCAATACTAAGTCATCTGCAAATGCTCTCAGTTTGTACTGTTTAACTCCAACCTGTATACCTTTAACCAACCGGTCCCTTCTAATCATGTTTAGCAAAACCTCCAGGACCGATATAAAAAGCAGTGGGGAGATTGGGCACCCCTGTCGTGTCCCTTTTTCTATCTTAAATTCTTCCGTCACCACATTATTTACAATTAATTTACCTTTTTGTTCAGAATATATTGCACCTATACCATTTTCAAAACCTTGGCCTACCCCCATCCCATGTAGGTTTTTCTTCATAAAACTCCAAGAGATGTTGTCAAAAGCTTTCTCTGCGTCCACAAATATCAAAACTGCTTTAGTGTTTATATTCACTTCTAATTTTTCCAAAATATCAATTATATTCCTCAAATTATCAGACAAGTGTCTTCCCGGGAGAAAGCCCGCTTGGTCTTTATGAATCTCTTCCATCAATACTTTTTTCAATCTCTTGGCCAAAATATCTGCAAAAAATTTATAATCCACATTAAGTAATGATATAGGGCGGTAGTTCTTCAGCTGAGTCTTTTCAGTCTCTGTTTTCGGTATAAGTGTAATATACGCATCTTTCCACGACTCTGGTGCCCGTTTCCCTTCCAATATTTCATTGCAGACTTCCTTCAAAGGTTGCAATAACCACTCTTTCAAAGATCTATAATATCTAGAAGTCAGCCCATCCGGTCCTGGAGATTTGCCCAATTGCATGTTTTGAATGGCACCTTCTACTTCCTGTTCCGATATTTTGTGGTTTAGCATTAATTTACTTTCTTGGGAGATTTTTTGTAATCCATTTGTCTTTAAAAATTGGTCTATGTCCGTTTCTTTCTGTGGCCCTTGTGTATATATTTTTTTTAAGTACCTCTGGAAACAGTTTCTAATCTCAATTGGGTTGTGTATACTCTTTCCATCCACTTCTAAGTTTGTAATAGTGTTTAATTTTTGTCTTTTTTTCATTTGCCAGGCCAGCAGTTTCCCACATTTGTTGGCTGATTCAAATGTTTTTTGTCTCATTTGTTTAATTTTCCATTCTATTTCCTGATTCATCATTTCCATATATTGTACTTGATATAATTTTATTTCTCTCAAAATCTCCTGGGACTTTGGTTTTGCTCTCAATTTCTTCTCACTTTCTTTTATTTTCTCCAAAATTTTATCTTTCTTCTCATTTTGACTTCTCTTCTTTATTGCATTCTGTTGTATCAGGAACCCTCTCATAACAGCTTTGCTTGCGTCCCAGATTACTCTTTTTTCTACATTGGTATTCATATTTATTTCAAAATAGTCTCTCAAAGTTTTTTTGGCTATTTAAACACTTCTTCATCTCTGAATAAGGTGTCATTCATCCTCCATCTGAAGGATCCGGTTGATATTTGTTTCATCTCCATCCTTACAGCATTATGGTCGGAGCAGGTTTTTGGGCAGATTTCTACTTTCTTAATCTTTGGTGCCATTCCTCTAGTTATCCATATTTGGTCAATTCTAGTCCATGTCATCTTGGCTTCAGAGAAGAAGGTTCCCTCTCTTCCCAAGGGGTTCTTTACTCTCCAAATGTCCACTAACTCCATATTGTCCATTAGCTAAAGTGGTGCTTTAGGTTAAGAACAGTTTAAGACTTCCGGGTTAGCGCGATCGACTAATGGCGGATTCCCTCTGAGCTCTGGAGGGAATCGGCTCCGCAGGATTGGGTCTTGCCGCTGCGGCGACGTGGGGACCCTTAAAAATCACAGGCGGTGAAGCCTGTGAACCTGGTGACTCGGCGGGCACCATTTGCGCCCCCGACCCGTGAAGGAGCCTTTTTAAAGGCTTCGGAACGGGAGACGGGGTGAGCAGTGCGGTGCTGTGAGTCGACTGCTTCTCCTACGGAGTGAAGCCGCATGCCATGGTCGGAGAGTGCTGACTTCTTCTTGTGAACAATTGGACTTTAAAGCAGCAACCCGTGAGTAGTACGGAAATTGGATTTCTAAAGGAAAATTTTTGTTTTGAATTAGGCACGATCGGGGAAGGCGTAAACAGGAAGTCCGTCTCCCCGTCCTATAAATAATCTAAAGCAAGGACTAACTAACTAAGGTCGAGAGGATTTTTTCCTTCTTATTGGGCAAAAGATATTAATTTCACGATTTGGCAGTTTAAGTAATTTTTACTGGAGGATAAGAGTTAATTTTTGGAGCTGAAGTGTCACCCCCCCCCCCGGACCCGGGAGTGATCCGCGAGAAAGCCTGTTGGAGAGATATTGAAGAGCTTGACAGCTGTCAAACTAGCTGTCAAGACGGAAAAAGCGAACTTTGTTTTCTGTCTCTGCTGGTTATATTTGTTACAACTTGGTTATACTTTGTTGAAAATAAGGAAGAACCGATACAAACTAACTTGATTTTTGGATTTGAACTGGAAGGAATACTAAGTAACCAAAATTCCTCTAGAGTTGGTTTTGGGACATTACAAGAATGGCTGAAGGAGGGAAAACTCAAGATAAATTGGACAGAATTTTCTTTCTCTTGGGAAAGTTACAAGGCCAAATTGATGTTTTGGCTACTAACGTTGCAACCTTGGACTTAACAGTAAACAAGTGCATTGAATTTTATAAGGATTTGATCCGGGAAGTTCATGCAGCTGGACAAGAGGAGAAAGTTGAGAACTTTGAGAGTGTGGAGAAAGAGACACATGTTGTTTTTGAGGAAAGGGAAGGAGGAGATGTGGTGTTGCAGATGACAAAGGAAAGCCAGAGTCCTGACATGATGGCTACAAAGGAAAACAAGAATTGGATGATGAAAATCTGGTCCAAATTGGAGACTGAAGAATGGAGAGATCTCTATATGTGGAGATCTGAAGATCTAAGGATTACAAATTTGATTAAGGTGAAAGCTGGAGCTTTGGGGACATTTGGACTTGAAAGGAGCAAGAAACAAGATTTGGGCTCCACTTTTAAGTATGGTGGTCTGGCTGGAGGAAGCACTGTCCCCATCGGATTAGAGCATCTCCAAGATCTGGTGTTTAATATTAAGGACTATCAAAAAAAAACCGGCAAAGAGGAACTGAGAGACAATTAAGGGCCTCGGATGTGAGATCTCCAGGCTGATAGCAGATTAAGACTGATGGACATTTGTTGGGGATTGAAACCGGGAAAGGGGATGGGGTGGGGTTTGGGGATCCAAAGGGTGTATAATTATAATTTGTCTTTTTCTTTTTATTCTGTTTTGTTATCAGTATGAAAAGTGGGGAATTCGTGGAAGGGAATATGGGTCGACTTTAGAAAAAAGGATTTAAGAATGAGTACTGAGGTATAAATTTTGAGGTTTATAAGGTAAAATTGTTTTTTTTAAATGAATTAAGTATAAAAAGGTTAAAAACTGGGGATAAGAACTTGTTGAATTTACAATTTGAATTGGAATATAAGAAGGGGAGGTGCGGGGAAGTCAGGGAAATATGTTATAGAAAATAAGGATTGCAAACTGTATATGTTTTTAATTTTTCTTTTTGTTTTTTCTTTTTGGTTTTTTAAAATGGAAATTTCTTAATAAATATTTATTTTTTTAAAAAAAGAAAGAACAGTTTCAGGTTAAGTACGGACCTCTGGAACGAATTAAGTACTTAACCCGAGGTACCGCTGTAGAGGGAGTCCTGGGTCCCTGTATTTGCTGTATATATGATAAAATCCCACCCAACAGCACAGAAATTTTCAGGGTCTTGGAAGCCTTTGGCAACAAGTAATTCATGATTTTCAACCAATGTTGACCTCCACATAGTTTTAGAAGAAACCGAAACTCTCAAATTCTGTGAAATCTTCTATATGGGGGCAACTGGGGTTCCAGAAGACAACAGAATCAATGCCAAGAATTCAAGAGAGTGGAAACCTTTCAAACAGTCACACCATAACTGTGTTTTTAAAAATTGTGTTGAAGGTGGAATGGGATCTTTTAATATTTTGGTGTGGGGGGTTGTTGGATTTTTTTCATTTCTTTACAAACCATTGGACAGAATTTGAATAAGCGTGGGCAGTCCCAGTATAGGTGGAAAAAGGTTTCTCTTTTTCCATAGCCCCTCCAGCAGTCCCGAGAAGATTGTGATTTCATATGGTAAGTCTGCATGGGTGTGCAATGCCATCTTGGTAGGATTTTCTTAGAATGCTCACTCCTATATATCAATTACAGATAGGTAGCCGTGTTGGTCTGCCATAGTCAAAATAAAAAAATAAAAAAATCCTTCCAGTAGCACCTTTAAGACCAACTAAGTTAGTTCTTGGTATGAGCTTTCGTGTGCAAGCACACTTCTTCAGATACCATATATATCAAGATGTCCTATATACCATATATATTCAGATGTCCTATATATCAAGATTGCTATGTATGGTTTAGATGACCTTAGTGCATACACTGGGGCTAGCCGTCACCGGGGTGAACTGCACCAGCTCCCACCTGGACATGGACGCCATCTGCAAAGAGTTTCTGGAGGTTTTTGATGGGGCATTGGAATGATATATTGCCCCCCCCCCCCGTTGGCCTGCAACTAGACCCCACCGTACGACCCATAAGGTTCAAGGCCTGCTGGGTCCCGTTCGCCCTTAAACTCTGCATCGACAAGGAATTAGACTGGCTCATGGAGCAAGGAGTGCTTGAGCCAGTGCCAAACACCCCCTGGGAAACCCCAATCATCACACCCATCCAGCTCAACGGCTCAGTCCGCATCTGTGCAGACTACAAATGTAGTCCTATAAATCAAGATTGCTCTGTATGGTTTAGATGACCTTAGTGCATACCATTTAGAATCCTTTATTTGTATATTAAGGACTTCCTTTCATGTACATTTAAGACCTAATCAAGGACCAGCAGCCTCCTAATTCTGCAGCAGGTCTTCTCTCATTGGACCTCATTCTAATAAAAAACTTCAAATAGACACATGCAATTCCACCCCTCAA